CCAATGCATAGCAGTAGTGTTGAGTGGGGGGTGTCACTATTCCATACAATCATTCAGGGAGCCAAATTCCTTCCATTTCGTGGCTCTACAGTCCCATAGGGCTTCAGAATCTTCCTCTGATCCTTCATCTAGCTGGGTGGCATAGAAAGAGGGTGTGGAGGATTGTGATGAGATTTTTAGGGCCCACTTATGGAAATTTGTGTATCACTCCTGTCACATTCTATTGGTCAGAACTGATATACATGTTCACACCTACTTGCAAAGGAGTCTGGGAGATATAGGCTCTGTGAGTGTCCAAGATGAGAAGAGAATGAACTTTGCTGAAGACAAAGATGTGGTCTGCCTTTCCAACCCCCCAGTGCATTTTTCACTATTCCTCTGTCACATAGAAGATACTCATCATAGTCAACCTAAAGTCCTATCTAGCCATGCATCCTGCTCAACGTGCACAATCAGCAGATGATTTACAATGGATCCAGGGCTCCTCATAGTTTGGTGAATTATGGTCTAAAATAACAAATTTTATTACCCCCTCCCCCAAATACAATAAGCACAAATAAACACTCCTATCAGAAAGAGACAGAATGGATAACACATGGTCACTGGTGTATAGCAACTCTGAAATTCATTGGACAGACATGAAAAGTCTCCTTTTCTGGAGGTAGGGGATACTGGGGTCCAACCCCAGCAGGTCCAGGGGTCCCCAAAGGTGTGGACAGAGTCGGCGAAGAAGGAATGACACGGAGACAGCGTTCAGTTGATCAGCAGCCTTGCCAGGATCTCTAGCCACAATCTCCAGCCAGGTTCTGTGTCCATGTTCTCTCGCTAGGTTCTCCAGCCAGGTTCGGTTTAGGCTCTCCAGCCAGGTTCGGTCGCCAGGTTGTGTAGCCGGGTTCTCTTGCCAATTTCTGTAGTCAGGTTCAGTCCAGGATCTTTTGCCATGTTCTCTCCAGCGAAGTTCTAGGTTCTGTGTAGGTTCTGTCTTCTAAGTTCTGTCTAAGTTTCTGTCTTCTAAGTTCTGTCTCACTTAGTTAAGAGGTTTTATTCCCTCCCTAACTTCAGGGGAAAATCCCTACCTGGGGAAACAACCTTTCTCGGAGAGGTGACCTTGGTCAAAACACATAGTGCCAAGAAGGTGAACAAATATATTAAGAACAGTATGCCATATATGCCAGGTCCCTTGAAACAGCAAGGATGGACCGGCTCCCGGCAAGGGGACATTCCTTAATTAGTTCCCGCTCTGCTGTCTTGGAGAAACTCATTGGTTCTATCCCCTGGGAGGCTGGTACCTGATTGTATCTTCCTTGACCACATCGAGGCAGATGTTGGGGAGTTTGCCTTTCTTGAAGGAGATGCAGCTTTTGTAGCCCGTTCTTGCTTGAGGGATTTTTAAAGGTCATTGAAATACTCACGCCAAGGTTTATAATTTCTTTGTCATTACAACTCTGTCAAAAAAGTAGGAGGCTTCTGATCTTACTGTTTCCAGTCATTCTTTCCTAGTGTGTTTTTTTCTACACTGCTTCCCATGTTTGCTTTTAATTTTCCTCTTAAAATGATTTTCTCACTTCCATACTTCACAACATAGTAGAAGCAACCTAAGGCTCTCCGCAACAATAAGCATGGATAGGAGGTTAGGAACATTCATCATTCTTTGCCACAAGGTTGAGTTATTTTAACTAAGAAGTTTAACTGGACATTTTTTGTTTGAAGATTTTCTCGCTCTTTTATTATTAGAGGTCTAGTAACAATGGGCTTCTTTAAACACCTTAGTCTCTTTCATTTCTGCTTGAAACAAGCCAATTCTTTTTAATGCTCATCTTGTAATACTTTACCTAAGGAAGCCATTAGCAGGTAAAACATTCTAATTCTTTCTAACTACTTTCCTAGATCTTGAGATTGCCTCTTCCATCCTAGAGCCTCTGACTCTGCCACTGGGTTTTGTGCTTCTGGCTGTCAGAGAAGGGCAGAGAGAGAATGTGAAGAATTTTGATCTAGGAGTAGCATACTTCTAGAAATAATGGGTGCAGCAGGTTTAGATAGATGATTGGGGGAGGTAAGTATGTTAGGGATAGATGGTGGTTTTAAAATTAAAAAATTCCTGTTGATCTTGAGATGTCTCTAATTCAACGGGAAAGCACAAGAAGTTATTATAAGCATCAATCCAGAGCTCAGATTTATATAGACCACTACTTACATGCCCAACATAATTTTACTATGTCTACTGCTCCTCAGCCTCCAACTTTCTTTTTCTCTGACTACTCTGCCCCAATTTCTTTTTTTGGGAGGAAGGGGAGAACTATTTCATGCTTTCTTTTATTTCTTCTTTTACTTTTTTGCTTCCTCTTTTTCTCAACCTTTCCTTTACCTTTCCTCTCTTCATATTCTGCTAGTACATACTTTAAGTGTCTAAAAATATAGATGTTAATAATTAGAATTTTAAACAATGGAAATGTTGAATTAAGAAGTATACCATTAAAAGTAGATGATTTATTTTATAATGTGTATTTAATAGTAATCAAGAAAAGCCATAGACATTGATTATTACCACATGTATTTATATTTGAATTGGCAAAACACTTTCTCAAAGAAGCTGGGTAGCAACTCTGGATTTCATTTTTATAAACATGTCATACTAATATTTTTCCAAGTTAGTGTCCAATACAGTTAATCTCTGGAGTATTTCCAGTTTGCTCTAACTGTAGCAGATGTTTGTATATTCTCCTTCTGCCCCATTGCAACAGACACATAAGAACGATAAATTTTGTATTTGGTTTCCTAGCCAGACTTATTATTATTGTCTATCAAGTAACTTAAAGAAATACTTTTTGGGAAGTTATATTTAGCTGAGTGAGCTACTGGCTCTGTGAAAGAAAGAAAAAGGACATTTGGAATTAAAAAAGACAATAATATAAAAGGGGTCACTGAGAATGCCAAGGGTTTATATCTAATGGAGCTATGGCATGAACATCTACCCAAAATCATGTGGAGTCCACAATAGTGGTGAGGACAGCATATGTGGGATAGAAAATGGAAAGAAAAATGCTATCAAACAGAAATATCACGCATGAAATTGAAATGGTAATCTGTGTGTATATGTCCTCACCATGTATGAAGAACCTAAGGTAGAAACCCCGAAAAGAGTCTGTTCTGGAGGTGTTGTAGGAGGATTTTGCATTTCTTCACATGAAAATCTTTTTAGGCTATATTTTGCTCTTTCTCACTTCATGTTAAGGCCTTTGTTGAAGAGTTGAAGCTGAATACCTTTCCTGGTGTTACTTCCAAGTCTAACCTAAAGGGTAGTAAAAGGACTTTGTTTGTTCAGTTGCTCTTCTGAAGCATTGGTGAAATGAGAGGAACCAAGCAAAATTTGTGTCATTAAAAGGAGTTTTAAGAAAGTTACTTGAGATGTTACATGACTCTTACTTTCAGCAGTATGGATGGATTACACATTCTAAAACAATCCTCACACTGAGAAAAATGTAGGTCTGGATAAGCAACAAGAACAGCAAAATACTTTTATACATACTGCTCACATCACAAAGAAGAAAGAGGAAACCCCAAGGGATACAAAAAAAGAGAAAAGAAAATTTAGTAAGCATACATTAGTTAGCTGAAACAAGAGTGGTAAGTAGAAGAAGCAGCTTGAACTGTCTTGGGATCAAATATCAAAATCAAGGGTTTTGGATATTAACTCCAATGAGAGATAATGGGAGAAATGAAGTAAAGGAGAGCAGCTGAACTTAACACCATCACGTATTCCTGGACCCAGTGAAAGAACTACATCCTTAGTGAAAATGTGATCATAAAAAAAAAAAAAATCTGATCTCTCAAAGCTAAATTTAAAATCTACCTAGACTCTCAGGAGAATTATGAGAACTTGTTAGCATACATGCACCCTCAAGTGGTTTTAGAGTCCAAACTTAAATTACCTGTGCAATTCACAAACCCCAAGCTAACACACTAAATAAATATCTGCAGATAGATAAGGCAATCTGGTTTCTAGTAGAAGCAAACACAAGTCTCTTTATATGAAAGCATCCTAGACACAGACTTCCACAAATTAAAATGAAAAATTAAATCAATTTTTACAAAAAAATGAGGAAACAAGTGATGAATTAGAAAAAATAATAAACTTAGGTTCTCAAGAACTTCAGGTATTGAAATGATCTGAAATACAACATAAAACAATTATATATAACATTAAGTAAATAAAAGATAAAATCTCTCTCTCTATATAAAAGCCTAAGCAACCATCTGACCGTCTGACCAATAGCTATGATGCACACTGACCACCAGAGGGCAGACGCTCAATGCAGGAGCTGCCAAGCTGCGGTGACTTGCCAGCTGTGGTTCTCAGGTGATGCACTGGGAACCAGAGAGGAAGGAGCCTGATTCCGGGGTGCATCACCCAAAAACTACCCTCTCGCAATTGAGGACCCCTCAGGGGATGTTGGAGAGCCGGTTTTGGCCCCATCTCCACAGGCCAGGCCAAGAGGCCCCACCAGTGCATGAATCTGTGTACTGGGCCTCTAGTTTCAATGTAAGTAAGGAATAAAAAAATCTCTAAAAGTATTATAAAAAATATGGTAAGAAAATGTGATCATTGAAATTATAACCAACTGCCATTTCTGATCATGACTGACTAATTTTACCAACTCTCACTGAGAGCAAAGAGGCAATAATAATGCTGTCAGTGTTTTTATGACTTCTTTTTTTTCAATTTCTTACCTCTATTTTTCTTTTTTTAAATATATTTTTTATTGATTAAGATATTACATATGTGTCCTTATCCATGTTACCCTTGCCTTTCAGAGTAAGAACAAACTCTCCGTCTCTGGTTCTATTTTTGTTCATCAGTTTATGTTGTTCATTATATTCCCCAAATGAGTGAGATCATGTGGTATTTTTTTGTTTTTGTTTTTTGTTTTTTATATTAAACAGTAACATTTCACCTTTTATTAAGGCAAGTTTGTGAAAATAATTTAATACAACCAAATCTCTTCATGAACTTTCAGCTGAAAACATTTTTATGTAAGAAACATACAAAAAAATTGTTTTATAAAAAGCCACCTCAATGCCAGAAAAGAGTGACGAATTTGAACCCAGTTTACTTTTTAAGGATGCGCTTCCCTTGTTTCCAATTCCAAGTGCTATTCATCATCTTTAGTGCCACTTTTGCTTAAATGCTTCACCACGTCCACCCAGTTCCAGCCTCGAGGGAGCTCCCCTTTGTGATCTGTTTTATCTGCCAGTTTGCGTTTCTGGGCTTTTGTAAGTTGTTCCTTCTTGTCTTTTTTCTTACTGGATGGGGCTACATTAGGAGTTTCAACTGAGAGGATATTGCTTATGGATGTCGCAGAGTTCACGGGATGGTGATTCTCCATGAACTGCTCTTTGTTGTCCTTGGCGTACTCGAACAGCGTGTAGGCCATGGCGGTGCCGAGGTTGGCTTCCACCGCTTCCTGTAACTTGGCTAATATGCTCTCCTTCACGGCTGAGGATCTGGAATGCACGAGAAATATACTGTTAGCAGAAAAGCAAGAGTGTAAAAAAACCCCAATGAAACCAAAACCCTCCCCACAT